TGTGCCTCTTTCACGCAGCAGCCATGTTGGTTTGAAAATAGCGTGGCCTCGTTTATGCGGGTGCATGCATTTAAGGTTGCCATGAGAATAAACATGGTCGCAGTGTTGTAAAGATTGCAACTGGTTAGCTGATGTTGATACGTGGTTTAGAAGTAACCCAGAGCAGCAGCCGGGCGCACCTCACTATTGTTCCACTGACTTATTTGTGGAGCACTGATTGAGAGATATGATGAATGAATTGGTCTATTAATAATATGACATGTGAACTCTTTTAAGAACATGAAATATATGCCCATTGTGTGTGTTTATATATAGACCATGCACGTCAGTCGAACTTGAAACAAGATACGGTTCTCAACATGTTCACAAGTTGTACAGATTCCCTCATTCTATTTATATCAATCGTTTTAATAGAAACGCATATGGTTAAGTTGCTTTTCTGGAATTCGAAGGTTCTGGATGAGAATGATAGCGATAAACGTATGGGATGACACAAGGGTAATCACGAGCGCTTTATATCTGACTATAAAGGGACTAAAACAGTGCTAATGACTATATTTAGGAATTACGGTGGTTGACGTGGAACGTACGATATGTCTAGTCGATTGACTCGATACTTCCCAGTTTGAACCCGATTTAGYTCTGGTCAAAAGATTTTGGCGTCAAAATTCATAGTCTCTTCGCCCAGTTTTGTTCCTGAAATCTTTGCGAACCATGTTTCCATGGTTAGCGTAAAGTGGTCCTATGATTGAGCCGAGAGGAACTCCTGTTTTTAATAGTGGCATGAATCACGGTGAGAAAAATATGTGACATGAAAAGACTTTAATAAGAGGTCGATCCTATGCATGAGTGAGGAACTCCTTAAATGAAGAAATCTCAGGCATGATCCCTTGTGAGGAAACGAAGGATTTCCAATCGTTTTGGCGTGCGCTTGCGTATATGACGTTAATATCAAGTGCCAGAAGTCACTCAAGATGCTACTGAAAACGCGAGGTTGATCCGGACCGGAAAACGAATCGGTGATCATAGTAATGGAACTGCGCATTGAAAATCTCACTGATTTATTATCTATATATAAATATGCCTATTAATCTTCGCCAGCCGTGTCGTCCTCAATTATAATCTTAATTTATTGGTGTTCATACACTGATGATATGTTAAGTCAAACCATAAACTACGATCCGGTGACAGTTCCGCAAGGACTCAGTGACCTTCCTTTGGGAAATCCACTACTGCATTGAGCTATGTTACAATAGGACGTTTGCATGATGGCTTTATTTGACTCCCACTCCAAAATGCTTCGCGAATTTTCTTTCTTACTTAAATTTATATTCCGTCATGAGAATAGTGAGACAGTGTGCAAGGGAGTCTGGTAGTAGAGGACAACGACGCCATCATGATTGTAAACGTCCTATTATAAAACTGGTTGCGGGAGGGATAATTCACTTCAGTCTATATCTGGGAATCGGCTGGGTTTCACTACGCTCCATTTCCTGTCTCGTGCGGAATGTTCATCAGCTGAATTACAAGTTTTCAATAGAATTCTTTCTGGCTGACAGCACATGCTGGTCAGTGTTTGACAACCATTTGGAGAAGATAATGAGATTCAAAGACTTTTATCAGCTGAGTGAAACCCAGCAATACATCATATAAAGGATCGAGTTATTTTGAGCTCGGTCGTTCCTCCCTTGCAGACGCGCGCATTCTCGAGTTTCAACTATATATATATTAGCACCGCACATTGCACTGGCAAACAAATTCGAACTCAGACATAGGCGGCAGACTATAAGTAAAAGCCGCGACATTCTCGCATTAGACCACACCCTGCTGGAAGAGTTTATGACGTGCGCAAAGAACATTATACAGTATATAGAGTGATATGTGACGTCATTAAAGAAAGTAGTTTGTCTGGTTCAGTAACCGAATCTATTAGTAAGATATCAGTAGCCGTAACTGATACGACGATTGGGTCTGATATATATAAAGCCAAGCTAGTTAGGCTATTGTTGGTCTAAAAAGGTTTGTGCACGTGTCACAGAAATGCTTTTGGGCCGAAGAGGGAAGAAAATTAAACTCGTGAAGTTCACATGGAAAAGGTCCTTTCACTGGATGTGAAATAGTCATGGTCTAATGGAGTTCACATCCAGTGAAAGTACCTTTGACTGAAGCTCCTAATCAACTCTTGAACCGTATATTCGTCCATAAAGTTTCTTTAGATCTGTTTTCTATCTATCTTTTTTTTTCTATTTTGCGTTGACTAAAACATATAGTTTTTCGATTGGAAAAGGTCCTTTCACTGGATGTGAAATAGTCATGGTCTAATGGAGTTCACATCCAGTGAAAGGACCTTTGACTGAAGCTCCTAATCAACTCTTGAACCGTATATTCGTCCATAAAGTTTCTTCTTATCTGTTTTCTTTCTTGCTTTTGTTGTCTGTTTTGCGTTGACCAAATCATATAATCTTTCGATTATGGAAAAGGTCCTTTCACTGGGTGTGAAATAGTCATGGTCTAATGGAGTTCACATCCAGTGAAAGGACATTTGAAGCTTCTAATCACTCTTTAAACCAGAAAAAAGTTCAAGAGATAAATTAAAAAAGAAAAGAAAGAAATAAGAAAAAAGAAAAGGAAAAAAAAGGAAAAGGAAAATAAAGGAAAATAACTGAAAAAGAAATTAAGAGAAAAAAATAGAAAAATAAAACAGGAATATAAAAAAGAAACGAGCTAACACTAAAATTTTAAGCAATAAAACCGGGGAAATAAAACAAAAATATCGAATGAGAACAGACCGGAATTCGAACCGAAAGACGGGTTACTTTTGGATCGTACGAAACCTCGTAGAGTTTCTCGTCTTCCTCTGCAAGGGTCGAGTTACCCCTTAGATACGCCTCCGCACATAAACGATTAGAAACGCGATATTCATCTGACAGCCATAAGTCTATTTTCATAGCACAAGAGTTGTTTTTATCTTAGTCTAGGCCAGGGTTAGGTGATGTGATAATACGATAAAATGATTGGAATTCAATTTAATCCTTCGCTACACAACTTTATACGATACTGTTTATCAAAAAAAATATAGCCAATGATATTCTTATGTGCTTAGGTCCATTTTTTTTTTTTTTTTTNAAAATTAAGAAAAAAACAAATTATGTGTGTTTCCCTAGTTTTATTTTCAAATTGCTTCATTTACATAAATTATGATACATGAGTTACAAAATTCTGTGGCGCAGATTTTGAGAAAATAATGCGAACATTTTATAACCTTTTTTTTTTTTTTTTTTTTTCTTTTATTCTTTTTTTCTTTTTTTTTTTTTGCAATTTGTCAAAAATTGTATTTAAAAATTAATCGAGTCCATTTTGCTGCTCACGAGGGGAGGGATAGGGGAATAGCTCTGAGAATTTCCAATGCGCATGATCAGTATATAGCTACACAATGCAAAGATCAAAGTGTTGACTGGGCGTCGTTTGAAAACTCCATCAAATTTTATAAACCGGCTCGAAAATAACCTCAAAAATGCGCTCTGAGGCTGTAATAGAACTCCATATTTCCGAGGAAACCCAATGATTGACAAAATCGGGCCAGATCTGCGAGAGAGCCGTGGTTTTTTGAGAGCAGTTGTGCAAAACGCACTGGTCTAGTTTCCCCTGTCCTGCAACACGAACATTCCAAAGTTAACCATTTCATGATGTCTGACAGGGCTTGTAGGAATTTTCAGCCCAACATCTTCAACAAGAACAAATGCCAGAACTGTTACAAGCTTAAAGAAGCACACAGGGCTTCTCAGACGATCACAGATCAGAAGAGTTTAGCAGGTTTGGCAAGTACGAGTAGTACAGCAACAGCTCCTACACCAACCTCTTCTTTCAAGGTGTTGATCGTCTTTATTCGTTTACCATTTCTGTTCTGTTTTCTTTTGTTAATCATGTACACAATCACAGATCCGGCTCAATTAAAACCTCGATTTAGTATCACCTAGTATTTGCTTTTTAAATAGGCTAGCAAAGCAAAGAATACCGTGAAGTCTGGAGTACTTTCCATCTTCATCCTAGAGTCCAGTACAGACAAGACGAAAACACAACAGAACGTAAGTCCAAGACTTTCTAAATTCTTTTTCCTCCGATCTCTGTGTATTATTAAATTTAATTTCCTACAATGGTTAATTCTTTGAATTTTTGTCCCTAGAAATGGAATCGTCGATGGATTGTGCTAAATTCCTCTGGCATCGTTGACTACTATGTCTACGACGAGCTCAATGTAAGTAATGTTTTCATGCAGAGTTTTTAAAGTCAAGCCGCATGAAAAACGGTTATTCAACGACCTGACATTTTCGTTAGCTGTTGTTTATGTAGTCTCTAGCATAACGACGAGGTTTGTCCGTTATTTGTTACTAAAGGCCCCAAGCCCGATCCAATATCAACCAGAATCGTTCATGTACATAAATAGCGCTTGAAGGTACTCTCAACAAAACTTCCAACAATTTCATATTTTGACGGTTATGACTCAAACAACTCGCTAGATCGTCCTAAAAGAGAACAAATATTTACATTGGCGCCTCAATAAAATTAGGAATTCGTTTTTTCCGGTGTCCTAGTAAACTATTTATCATTACGTCTATAAAACGGCTTAAAATCAGCTTGGAAATTGTTCTCCTGTTTATTGGTGAGTAATGCTTCCGAGATATAACCCTGTAGGTATTGGGATGATTCCCATTTAGACCACTAATAGCGTGTTATCACTCCTGTGTCTCAAAAAATAACACCAAGTTTGGATATCCTTATGCCATAGCTAATGATAGAGGTCAAACCCCACTAGACATCAAGCAGACAGGATTCAACTTTTATAGGACCCTTTGTAAGAACAAGCTGGAACTTTAGATTAAAAATTATGCAATATAAAAGTGAGAGCCAAGAACTTAGATTAGAACAAGTTGAAGATAAGGTGGAACCTCTGTTCTGTCAAAATTCATTGTTTTTAGGCTATTTTTGGGACCTCAAAAACTACATCATCTTGTTTCAATTTGCAAAATATGCAACATTATTGTGGCCTCATACTCTGCTCACCAGAAAGTTCATTTTTAGGAGATGAAAAACTATTTTTGATTTTGAAAAATTCAGCAATTTTGCAATTACCATGATGATAAATTCATTAATTTGGATGATTAGTCCTTAAACAAACAAAGCAGTGCTTTATTACTCATATAAAGAATTCATGACTTAAATACATGCTGTTGGAGAAGTCTGGTTGGTCGCAGATAATCCAAGTCTGTCATATTTCATATGAGTGCGTTTAACAAACAATTCTCTCTTATCATTGTTAATCTTTTTTCCAATATTTATCACTAAATTAATACAAATTGTAACCACGAAAACAGCTGTTTGATTGTTCTCAGCCATCATATAACATATCAAGAATATAGGAAGACGTAGTGATATGATTTTCAATTTCAATTATGTTGCTGATCAAATTATGAATTGAAGTGTAAAAAATACTGAACTTTACTTAATGTGTAAAGTAAAGAAAGGAAAATTTTACTGGCTAGAGAATTGGACATGACTCTTGGCGAGGGAAGGGAGGGAGGGGGGACTAAACCTCTTTCATGATAATGGAAGTCTTGGCTTACTGTTGCAGCTCTTTTAATACATTGAATGGAAGAATAGAGTCTTTTATTTGTACTTCAGCCATTCCCCTGGCAAGCTCATTTAAACTACTACTGGACAATAAACTGGCTGACCTTGTGTGGACTTTGAGTCTGTTCTCAGCCTGTGTTAAGCCATTGAATGATAATGAAAATAAAACAGGGGTTCCATAGACATGAAAGTAGACTAGTTTTCATGTTTGAGATAAAATCACTAAACAAATAAGTCCGTAATTAAGAGGGCAGCAGCAAAAATGTTATTTTTTTGCTTATCATTATTATTTCATTATTATTATAAATATGAACCATTTATCAGTTGCTGACTCTTTGACACTCAAAACTTACTAGCAATTACCCATTCCTACAACAATGCTTAAAAGCTATACATCTTAGTTAACATATGTGGCCAGGAGTTATATAGAATGTTTGTGTTTTTTTTCATGATAAGATTCCAAAAACAGTTTCTAGTTAATGCATTATTTATTTTTATCTATATGATCTTGGAATTACATCAGCTTGTCTTATTTTGATAAACAGTGTTATCTCTTTCTGTGAGTATGGCTTTCTTAAAATTCAAGATACGAAAATGTGGCTATATTGAAAACGTTTTTTCTAACATTTTGATTATTTTTTCATTGACATTGACTGGTCTGACTGGTCACATCAGTCTGATATAGTCAGTCATCATGTCCATCCATTGAGCAGACATTATTTCTAGCCAGCATTTAATCTCAGGGCTAAATATAATGGCCAGTAATTGGATAGTGTCTACCAAAAGTTGATCTTGTCTGGTCAAATCTTTGCCTTGCCAGCTATTTTTACCAGTCACGTTGAGCCAGTGGCGTTTAGATGTTGTTGATTGCCTATACCCCACAAGGGGTGTACAGGCTTAGGAGGAGGAGACGTTGAGCCAGAAACATGGTATAAACTAACACCAGTTTGCCTGGTCATCATGACCAGCAACTGACCAGGCATTACTTTTAGCCCTGACTGGTCTACTTTCTTAGCAGTCAATAAAATGAATGTATTGAAAATTTTAATAGGGTCTTCTCTACCCCACCTCACCCCCTATCAGGTATGTTTAGCTCCAATCAATATTAGGATCTTTAATATAAGGAAATAAATTTGTTATCGTTGCAGAACTGTTTTACAGACATCCATGTTGGCAAGCTCATTTTAGATGACTGTACAAACGTCTTTGTTGGAGATGTAGATACAGGTGATCCATTTTCTATTGGCCTCAACACACCAGACTCTACGCACTACTTCAAGGCAGAGTCCCAACTAGAGATTGATAGCTGGACTAGGGTGTTTAGGCCATTTGTCCAGGCTGCAAAAAATTATTCCAGGCAGAGAGGAAGTCGTAACTCTGTTGGGTCTATTGAAGCTCTCACTGCTAATACTACTCAAGGTTGGTTGACAGTCTGACTGTGGGAAGAGAGAGAGAGGGGAGTAACATTCATGTTTCTATCTCCCCCCCCCAACTGAGAACGTCCATCCCCCAGCTGAAAAAAGAAGATACAAAGAAGGTTTTCACATTTCTCATCATTCTTTACCCCATCCCAAACATCTCCCCTAACCCTCCCCCACATCTTCAGGGATTGTACTACCACTGGGAATCTTGTAAAACTCTTGGATGTTGTCATACTTTTCTACCAACTACTGCCTCAAAAGCTAGATTTTTGCTACTGAAGACATGAAATTTCTAAGTTCTGTGCCCTTTTTTTTCTTATTAACCCTTGTTTTCACCGTCAAAAACTCCTAGAATTGCTTTACTCCTAAAATATACTGTAGGCCAATTCCCAGCATGTTTTCTCATTATTATCACGCATGTTTGTTTTACAGTACCAAGCTTTAACTTCACTAGAGGGTCCAGTTTTGGTAAAGCTTCTTTGACAAGACCAGCAACTCCACCCAGGGCATCTAGTACTCTACCAAAGACCAGGTTTACTGCACCTGACTTAGATCTTCATCCTACAGTAAGTGTAATCCTTTTTCTCATTTTAAGTAATTTCTATTTCTCTTTCCTTTATTTTGCATTTACTTAGAAATTAATTACCCATACTAAAAGGTATACCATTATGACTGAAAAAATTCTGTTATACCACACCTCACCTCACCATACTACACCACACCACACCGTACCACACCATACCACACCTCAACACCACACCTCACGACACCTCAACACCATCTTCACATCACATCACACCAAACCAAACCACGCCACGCTATGCCACACCGCACCACACCTCAACACCACAACACCACACCTCACGACACCTCACCACACCACAACACGACACCCCACACGACACACCACACCTCAACACCATCTTCACATCAAACCTAACCAAACCATGCCATGCCTACCACACCACACATCAACATTACCTTCACATCAAACCAAACCCTATCACACCATACCATATCAAACCAGGCCACACTACACTACACTACACTGCACTGCACCACACCTTAACCACATCACACCTCACTACACTACAATACTTACAACTAGATTTCAATATTTGGTGTTTGCATTTTTTAGGATGAATCGCTCAAACTGGAATTAGAAAAGCTACGCAAGGAGAATAAGGAGTTAAAAGAAAAGTCAACGATGACGACAAGGCAAAGAGAATCACTTCACATTCTCGAACAAGAGCTAAAATTAAAAACCAACAAAGTCAAGGAACTAGAAAAAGAACTTTCGAAATGCAAGGATTATCAAAAGGCAGTGATATTTCAAGAACAAGAGTTGCAGGATTTACGTTTTACCATCAAAGATTTGAGACAACAACTTGAAGAATCGGAGAAAATGTCCAAACAACTCAAAGTTAAGCTATTAATCCATGGAAAAGAATTAGCTGAGGCAAAAGCAGACCTCGACGAAGCGAATAGTATCATAAGTATTCATAAAGCGAATATAGAGGCTTTGAAAAGCGAGGTTTCCAGTGCAAAGCAAGTTTCTGGAGATCGAAAGGGAAGGGTTATTCTGTCGGACGAGGAGCCTGAAAGTGATCGAACATTTAGTTTTGGGGCAAATGGCGAAGAAGGACAGAAACAAGACTTGGAGAGTAAACTTGCTTTTCTTGTACAAAAGTTAAAACAAAATGAAAGAGAACTTATGATAAAGACGAAAGAACTTGAAAAAGCGAATGAAAGTCGGTCAAAGGTAGCGAAATACACTCGCTCGTTGTTGCAGGAACTTGAAACAAAGTTGAGCAACAATGAACGAAAGTTGGCCGAAACTGAACATCAGTTAAAAAATAGTAATATAGAGTTGGAGTATGAACAGGAACAGAAAGCTAAGCTGGAAAAAGAAAAGCAAAGACTAAATGCTGATTTGGAAAGGTTAATTGACTTGAATAAAGAGGTTCATTTGCCCAAGGATGCTGTTGCTTTGATGAAAGAAGCGAAAACCGAAAAACACGAAGACAGGAGCAAAGCAGAGCTGGTAGAAGCCGAGCAAAAGTTAGGAAAAGTCGAAAAACAGTTCGCATCGAGAGAAAAAGAATTTCTAGATAAAATTCAAAGTCTTGAGAATGAATTAACATCGTTGGAGAGACTTAAGAGTGACAGTGAAAAGAAGTTTAAAGAAAATGAAAAAATGTTGAAGGCGGCTTATGATGAACTTGAAAAAGCGCGCCAAAACCTCGAGCATCCGAGGGATAAGTCAGTTAAACAAGATAAAGAAAGTGTTTCAGAACTGAAAGAAATTATTTCTTTGAAAGATAATGAATTAAATTCTGCTAGCGAAGCTTTGAGCGACTTTGAGAAAGACCTTGCGGTCCTTAATCGCAAGAACGAAGAACTGGAAAAAAAGCTAGATTCGATGGATGAAAAACTCTGCGAAAGTCTTGAGAAACAGTTTTCTCTCTCTGAAGAGAACGAGAAATATTCAAAGGAAAAGAGAGAACTCGAAAGTAAAATTATATTTTTGGAGGAAAAGGTTTCTGACTCGAGTGGAGAGATTTCGACTTTAAAAATGGCACTGAGTGAATCTATTTGTGAGAATGATTCCAACGTTGAAGTTGAACAGGAAAAAGTACGTGAACTTGAAAAAACCTTGAATGAGAAAAATAAGGAATTGGAAGAAATAAAATCATCGTTAGAAGAGAAGGAAAAAGAATTTGGTGCACTAAAAATGGAACGGGAGTTGAGTGCTTTGAAGGCTTCAGACGACGATGAAAGCGTTCTCAAGTTGAAAAAACTCGAAGACGAAATCGGAAAACTGAATAAAAACACGGAAGAACTTATTAGAGAAAAAGATAATGAGCTAAGCGTGTTGCAAAAAGAGAATAGAAGACTTCAAGAGAAACAGAATCTTCACAAAGACCATCGAAAAGAAGAAGGAGAACGCGTCGCAGAGCTGGAGGAAAAGATCTTGCAGTACGAAACTTATCTTACCGCAGCGAAGGAAACGATTCTAGAATATGAAAGCAAAATAAATGAGCTTACTTCCCAAGACAGAGGAGACGAACTCGTAAAAAAGAACCAAGAGCTTGAAAATAAGATCGAAATTCCTGAAAAACAATTSGGTGAATATCGTGAGAAGTCGACTGTTGCAGAAGAAAAATTGCATGCTCATGAAGTGGAAGAAAAGCTACTTGCGGCAGAGCTTCAGAAGTGTAAGAAAGATGAAATAGTCACTCAGGAAACCGCCATTTCTGTATCTAGTGTTGAAGAACTCCAGAACCAGCCTACAGACCAGCAAGACGAAAAAGACACTGATTACAAAACTCTCCTTGACGAAAGAACGTCCCAACTTGTAAAGAGTGAAAAGAGAGTTGTTGAGCTAGCAGAAGAATTGGAAAAGCGAATGCAACTGGAGCAAGAGATTTCTGAGTGGATGGAGGGAGTTGAAGCAAGTTTAGGAAAAACAGAGAATGATTTGTCAAGTACAAGGAACGCTCTAATCGCAAAATCTCAAGAACTCGACCTCGAAAAGACTAACGTTTTGGAATTGGTTGAATTATCGAGGAATTATATCAAGCAGCTTGAAAGCTCTCTTGCAGAAGAAAAATCAAGAGTAGAAGAAATGAAGAAGAAACTTGAGAACGGTGCTGTTGTTGATGTTACCGACGGTGTTGGAGAAGGAACAGTCAAAACATCCAAGGAACATACTTTTGATTCTTTTGGTGGTATTCGTGAACGTTCAAAATCTTTCCGTGACATTGCCGAAAAACTAGCCTCGAGTGAGAAAGAAAGAGAAACTCACAAAGCAAGAGTGTCGGAGCTCACTCAGGAACTCGAGGACACCAAACAACTACTAAACGAAAGGCTCGAATCTGCAGAACGAGCACATCAAAAGGACATGAAGAAAATCAACGAAGATACCTTCAGAGTTTCTGGCGCAGCCAAAACCGAGGGAGACGAGCTGCGTTTAAGATTAACGTCGCGTGTCATCACTTTACAGTCAGATATCAGTGAATTKAAAGCGGCCCACCAAGCTCAGATTGAGAAACTCAAAGTACGACACAAGAAGGAGCTAGAAAAGGCACGTAGAGAAGCGATACTCGAGTACAGTATGAAGCAGCCGATCATGGAGAGCTCTGAAGAAATGAATGCTTCTGTCATTGAGATGGAGGCCGAAATGAAGGACATGGTTTCAAGGTAGGTATTTTTTTATTTCGTTGTAATGGACTACTTCGACGATGTGGAGGCCATCTTGAATCGCAAGGCATTCGATGGGTCGTCCAGGGGGCAAATAGTCAAAGCTTTGTCACAGCTACGATTGATAGAGTGCAAACAATATATCATGTGAAATATAGTACTAACTAATGAGTACAAAATAGTGCTATTTAGTTTTGTGCTATAACACGGATATATGGTTTGCTCCCTGGGTGACCCATAATGCCTTGCAATTCAAAATGGCCGCCGCATTGTCGAAGTACTCAGTCCATTGGGTGGCTCTCTTGAGGTTCCTGATTGGCTAAAAATGGAAACATTTACACATTCTAAGCTCTATTGAATGTGCGCTGTGATTCGCCGCTGGACATAGAACAGACATCCTAATTATTTCCATCCTTCCCCTTTTCTCTAGAGTATTATTCTTGTTAGTAATATATTTTATTATACATTTTACTCGCTATTTTGCTTCTTATTGGCCGAGAGCTCTCAGCCAATCCCTGATATCGCGCGAACTTGACAGGATAAATGTATTATCTGTAAGTGTTTCTGCAGATACTACTGTAATACATTTATCATGTAGAGTTCACTCAAGGTCACAATAGAGATTGAAATTCAATTTGCTCTTTTCATACAAAAGCAGAATAAAGAACACTTAAATCTTTATCCTTAGTCTTTAAATTGTATAATGAAACAATTGTTGAATCAATTATTTTTCACATGATATGTTAAGTCATCAAGACTCAGCCGTTTCATCCGCCTTAGTCGGTAGATTAAACACGGCCTTAGTCTTGATAACTTACGATATCATTCTTAACCTCATCCAATAATTGTTTAATAAAGCGCGTACATACAGGTAAAATACGTTTTTTGAATTCATATTACCTTTTCTAAATTCAAGTGGTGATAGCTAGTAGAATACTAGCGTGGACTGCGTCGGTGTTTCTGAATAAGACAGTAGAAACTTATGGATAAATTGAATCACCGTAAAAAGCTTTGTGAAACTGACGTTTCGGACGTTAGCCCTTCGTCGGAGTAAGTCTTTACTCCGACGAAGGACTAACGTCCGAAACGTCAGTTTCACAAAGCTCCTACTGTTTTCTAAATTCATAATTGGCGTATCGTATCAGTTCGTTGTGTTTTATTTCACTGAACTTAAAAGCTCCCCGTGGGGGGAAGGGCAGAGTATTTTACCCTAATTTACATGAGGTAACCATTTGCATGATTCCATACATCCCAACATCTCCTACCGGGCTCCATTCTGAAAGATGGTGGTTGAACGGTCGCTTTTTGTTCATTAGACCTGCAAATCAAGTTCGTATCATATGTTCTCCATGGCGTAGTTAAATCTTAAAAATATGTAGGGGGAAAATGCTTTCTCATCGATATCCCCGAGAAAATTTTACATCCAGAAGCTCCGGTCTCTCTCGGTAAGTCGTACAGTTATGAACCGATAAATGGACGTTGTTTCTGTCATAATCGAAGGACTCTAAAATCCGCGCAAAGCTGAATTTTCAGGTGCAAGTCGTTAGAATACACCTTGATTGAATGTAAGGGTAAAGTTTCGATCTTGAAGAGGCAGTTGTTTTACTTGAAGGAGAAACAGCTCTAGTTATTTAATATCTAAGAACACTTACACTTCTTGACCTTCTTCCATTCGTGTCATCAGTTAGGGGGATTCGTGTTATGCCACAACACTAAACCAAGGGAATCACTTTTATATTCCAAAACATATGTTTTGCTTTATTTGATGTCAAAATCGTGAAGATATTGGAGCATCATTCTTGGGCATTAGATATGACATTGGAGCTGGAGAGTTTTGGCTAAGTTTTGCTGTCCTTTACCGGTAGGTGGTCAGTGAGTACGAGCTCTTGTAATTTCGAGTAAATCTGGGCTTCAAATCTTAAGATTTCAGCTTACAACCTCTATGATAGTTTACCATGAAGATTAGAAGAAATCGTGGGTACAGGTCTTTAAAATTTCACAATTTTTTTTGGGAAAAATACACAATGTCCCGAGATTTTGGAATTTAAGATGAGCGTGACATTTATTAGTCACGCAAATCCAACAGTGTCACGCTCCACATGCAATGGAATGTTTCATGAAAATCATGTGACGGAATATTTTTCACTGATATGTACCATAGAACTTCTCCCAATAGCTTCATCCCTATATAAGCCTTCAATAGAAGTCACCTAGGCATGTAAATTATAGCTGCGAGGTAGGTTTTCGTGATGGATCGTATTTTCTTGGAGTAATTATCGCGATGTCTTGCTGATTTGGCTTGGGACCCCTGCAGTTTTCACGTATCTTATTATTATCATCATCCAACGTTTCCATATTGTCATACCAATAATTCAATATCCCAATTTTTAATTTTACTCATGAAACTTCTGCCGCTAATATTCCAAGAAAAAAATGATTGGAAAATTTGCATTTTTCACTTTACTTCCGTGATCTTATATAATATTTACTTTTGAGCATACGTATTCGCAAGACAAACGAAAAGAAACATAAAACTTCTGTCATAAATATTTTTAAAAAAATTTGAATTAGAAATTGTATTTTTTCACTTCCGTGAACTTATATGATATTTATATCCGTCTGAACCGATGTATTAGCAAAAAAGAGAAATTAAAAGAGAACGGCTTGTTTAGAAAGTGCACTAACAAATCCAGTGCTTAATCCCCTTTTCCTTCATACTGTTTGGCACTAATGGTTTAGGAATAAAATTTTTCCCTTTCTCTCGTAAAGATATTTAGTTCCAGCGAGAATAAACAAATAATATACAAGTCAGATAAGCGAATAATATGTGCATGGCGAGAGACAGTAAATGGAAAAGAACATGTAGCAGAACATGTAGCAGAACATGAACTAACGGATCAGATTATAGACATGCATTTTAAATTAATCTGATGGATGTCAGAGGGAGTTTGTGTTATAGATAAGATGTAATTAACATAGCCAATGACGTGCAAAGAGGATTCAATTGACTTAAATGTTTTTTTAACAGGGAAAAGATTCGCTCGCCCTTCGAAAAGGTCGCCGGAACTAATCATGTGATCTCTCATTGCCCAAGAATTTTATTTTTCCCATTCCTCCGCTTTCTGCCTTTACTTCGAAACTTTTTTCCCATTCCTTGGACAGGGGCGGATCCAGGGGAGGAGTGTAGGGGGTGTACACCCCTCCCTGGTTCCATCTTGTGCCCCTACTTCGAAGACAACCAATACTGTTTTTTCCCCTTAACTTTGGGTTAACTTTGTGCGCAGCACCCCTCCCTGAACAAAATCCAGGATCCGCCCCTGTTGGGTGAATATCAGACACGAGTGGACGCTTTCAAGGGTTTCCTAAATAGACCTCCTTACCTTGGGCGTATTTTTCCCCCATTTCAGACCACGTGAGAGAATAAGATTCTTTGTTTGAATTGTATCCATATTCATTTGTCTTCTTATTTGAAACTGCTAAACAAAGAAATGATACTCTAGGGAATGGCATATGGTCTGGAATGGGAAAACATTATGCCAAAGGTAAAGAGGAATTGCTCTATGGGACAAAACAATGGAATTTTTTGCATGGAAAAAGATGGCCTGTTGTTTTTCCCCCAGAACAATTCCTTTAGGAAATCAGCGTTCTGGAGCTTTTGGTAAAGAACTACACAGGCAATCCATTAAAATATCCTTATCATTTGTCTCCATTGCAACAGGTACGAGAATCAGATGGAGTTGTTAAAACAAAGCCATCAGCGTGAGATGGAGAGGATTAAACGAAGCAGCGGCCATGGAGAAGGCTTACAGACTGAAGTAACTCGGCTTCAACACGAGATGGAGCAAATGGGCCAGAAATACATGAAGGAAATTGAATCTTTGAAGGTCAAACACGCAGAAGAATTAGATCAACTTAAAACTGTAAGTATTGCATGCTGTACCAAGGCCTTCTCGCCCATATATTCCTTCCCAGGTCTCCGCACTTACAGAATATGTGACTTCATGATTGAACTCGCCCTAGTCTCCATTGTCTCCGCGGTCTCCGCCTTCAGGGAATTTAGGGACCCACCAAAGCTAGTGTGAACTCGGTTGCAAGGGGGAAAGGAGATGGACAGGCCCTCCTAATATTCAGGTTTCCAATTTTTTAACAAGAAAAAACAAAAGCTGCGACGCCACTAAGTGGTTCTAATTTTCTCCAGAGTCCACTGATGTTGAGTTGTAATGAGTTTGGCGGAAACTTTCGCGCCAAAATTCGAGCGTACGGCCACCACCCATTCTCCCTCTCAAACTCTGGGACTCTCGATAAGTTTAGGTCAATCGTAAGGGAAAACGACTTCCAGGAAAAATTTTGTTTATTTTAACGCTTTGTCACGTGCATTTGGACCCGGGATTTACTTCACGACCTAACTGAAATATCTATGCACAATATATATGCTTACGTTACTTYCTTTTTGACTGATTCGGTTATCTTTTTGAACAGGATATGACACTTGTGATCCAAGCCTCGATGGGAGGCTCCTACAGTCCTACAAAAGACGCCACTGAAGAGAACACCCAACAACTAAAATTGAGGGTCAAGGAATTGGAAGAAGAGATCGACGAACTCACTCATAAAAACAACGAAGAATTACGAATCGAGAGAGTAAGAGAAGTTTTCTATTGGATACTAGTCTAAACCTACTAATGGTCTGTCACGATTCCTGCGCTCTGATTGGCTGAGCTATTAGTCGGTTATTAGTGATAGACCAATGGTAGCGAAAAGTGCCGGTCTTTAAAACCAAATTAATGGTGGCTAACTCGAATTTTCAAACTGATTTCAAAATAGTTTGCATCCATTTTTACTATTTTGGTAAAGACTATTAATCCTTGAAAATATAGAAATCTTCAGATATCGTAGTCTTAACGTTATGTCATTCCAAGCCAATCATATACCGTGTTATATATAGCTTTCTCACTTTGTCTTGCTGTCTTTATATTTTTCCAGGAGTCTCAACAGAAAGAACTCGACCAGATTCGCGATGATATGATGACCGTTATCCAGGCCGTCAAATCTCAGCAGTACGACCTTGACCCAAATACCGAGCAACTACAACGAACTGTCCGCGAACAAGAAGAGGAGATTAAACGGCTTAAAGAAAGAATTGAATCGGGAGGAGAAGTCACGTCTGATGTAATAGTCCAATTATTTGTTTATCTGTTAGATTTTCTTAAAATATTCTTAGAGCACACTCCGAGCCCCCGTCTCAGTCGCGCTCCGCGTTAGCGAGTAAGCCAGCACTATCTACCTAAAAGCTAGCGAGTTTCATTTAGAGCGCCTCTATCTGTCTTTCTGCCGGTTTGTCTTTCGTTGTGTCTGCTTTTGCCCCCCTTTATTTGACTATGAAAAACCTTYGTGCATCGCTCCAGATTATCTAAAAACTGGGCAACATCGCTAGCGAGAAAAACCAGCCCTTCTAAAGAATCATTCGCAATTCGCCGATTTTTCGCGTTTCTATTGCATTGATTTGCGCCTTCAAATTTTTCAAGTCTCAGTTTGTTTTCATTCACATTATACAGGAAAATGTTTCCAGAGTTGAAGAACTCGAGAAAGCGAATCAACTTCTTACCATAGAAAAAGAAGAAATGGAGAAAAGTCTAAAAAGGCAAGAAGCGGCGACAATGTTTGGTCTGCGGAGAACGGAGGAAATGAGTAATAAAATATACCAAATGCAGAAAGAAATGGAGGACATTGATCGTAAGTATATGAAAGAAATAAACGTATATAAAGAAGCGTACGAACGAGAAAAGGAGATAAAGACGAAAGGTGGAGAAGGCCGTGGTGGAGATCTCGAGACGCTTATTCATGAAAACGAAGAATTAACCTTGGCGCTTGAGGAATTGAGGCTCAAGATGGAAGAAGATGAGTCACTACATGAAAATGAACTCAAACTTTATAAGGAAAAGCTAGCACAAGAAAAACTTCTGGATGTAAATGATTTAAGACTTCAAATCAAAGGTTTAGAAGATAGTATCGAGGAAATTAAGCTTGAACACAAACGAGAAATTGAAGAATTACAAGAAAGTCACGAAAAGAATGTGAAAAGCTTGAACGCTGAACATGATAAAGAAGTCCGGAATTTAAAAAAGGAAAGCTTAAGCTCGACGACGACAGGGAAGAATAGCAAACTTCCAGCTTGTGAGGAACACAAAAATCAAATTCGAACTTTGGATTTTAAGATTGAAGAACTAGAATCTTTGTTGGAAGTTAAGAAACGTCGGCATAAAGAAGAGGTTAGGAGCTTGAAAGAACGTTTGGACGAGGAGATAAAAAGACGTGTTGAAGATGAAAGAAATTATGAAACTAAACTAAAAGGATATGATGGGACTCGAAGGACTTCATTTTCATCAGTGGCACCCGGGCCTGGTGCTAGTGAGTACTTTAGAAAACAGTTAACAGAGTTGAGAGCTGAGAATCGAAGTCTAAAGGAAGAAAATGAGGCATTACGAGCAAGGAAAACTAGTTCTGGTGATAAGCCGTCAAAAGGTAAGCTTATGAAATACAAGTGGGTTGTTCATCTTGCCTAATGATTTGAGTTTTATTTCTTGTTTGAGAATGGCTGCTAAGAATTTTCCTCAGCAATAATCCATAAGAATATTGCTGTTGGTATTGAACGTATGTTGTTTTTATTGTTCATTCATTACAAAACATTAGGAAATTTTTGCTTAATTTTCTTAAATTCTGTTTAAATGGCAGTAAAAAATGATTAAGTGTACCCCTTGTTAAGCAGACTCCCTTAATTCTGTGTGCTGTGTACATGATCCAGAAATTTTTACCCCATATATTTACAGCATTATTTTCAGTAGACACAAGACAAGATTCCAAGGGTGTCTGTTTTATAGATATACCATTGTAATTTTTTTCATTCTACATATTTGACTTGCGAAGAAGCCTGATTAGTAAATCTGTTTGATTCTTAAAGACGCCAAAAGACAAGGTTCAGAACCAGATTTCCAACCCTTAGCTTTACGGAAAAACTCAAAGGAAGGCAAGCTGCCTCTGAGAAAAGCTTCTTCCGACTCTAGAGTAATGGAAACAGAGTCTTCTAAAAGAGGTTACCGTTCTCAAGCCTTTACAAAAAGCGAGCCAGTTGAGAAACCATTTACACGGCAGTCGTCCAAGGTAGGAGTGATTAATGGTCTGCTAATGCAAATATCCTCCCAGTTATAAGCCGCCCTGGTTATAAGCCCACCTTAAATTAATAAGGAAATATAAGAAATAATAATTGTTTCCTTATCATACCAAACCCTTTTTACTTCAATTGTACATGATCCTATCAAAAAGCCCTTACAAATATGTATAAGGTCTCATAATTTAATGGTATTCTGAATTTGCACATTATGTCATCATGTCCAATACTACCACCAACATGGCTATCATGTCTTCATCTTTTAGGGGCATAGGCAGGAGGACCAAGGGGGCCTTGGACCCCCCCCCCCCCCCCGAGGAAAAATCCTGGCTAGACCCCTGTCTTCTTACTCAATGGGATCACAAGCCATTAAGGATAAAAATTTGTTTTATTGTTATAAATTATGTATTATACTATAAATCTGATAATTTAATCATGCATATGACATATTAATAATGCTTTAAACTTTCTTATCCAGAATGAAGTTAAATCAGTAGCAGCACGTGTAGCCATGTTCCAGACGCCATGTACGTATTCTTACGCCTTCCTCAACCACAGGATTCCCATTGATAATCATTTGATCCCACCCACTCATTTTTAGACTGTACAACTTTTCAGTGTCATTATAAAATATTTTTTCACCCAGTCAACTGAATGACATTAAGGCCGAGCAACTCATCCACAGGAAACCCAATGTGAAACATATAATTTAAACCACAGGAAACCCAAACATTAAATCTCAGATTCCAATTATATGTAATGTACAAAATCTGTATATAGATTAACTTTGTCGATTTTTTTTTTCCAGCCAAAACCGATGACAAGTCGACGAGGACTAAGTAGCTTCAGAGATCGTTGGGGTATGCCAATTTTTTCTTTCTTTGGGTGTTGAAGTAGTGTCAGTATGTGGGTGTCTAAGTGGTGTCAAATAGGGAGGTAGTAAGCTGGTGTTGGTAAGTTATTGGCTAGGCATCTAAGAAGAATCAGTACTTGGGGGTAAAGCTGAGTGTCAGTAAGTTATAACCTGGTGTCAGTAAGGTGCAAGTGGTCTCAGTAAGGTGCTGATAAGGTGTCAGTAGGCTGTAGGTTGGGTGTTAGTAGGCTATTGGTGGGGTGTCTACGTGGCCTCAGTAAGGTGCCGATAAAGTGTCAGTAAGCTGTAGGTTGGGTGTTANAGGTTGGGTGTTAGTAGGCTATTGGTGGGGTGTCTACGTGGCCTCAGTAAGGTGCCGATAAAGTGTCAGTAAGCTGTAGGTTGGGTGTTAGTAGGTTATTGGTGGGGTGTCTAAGTAGTTTCAGTAAGGTGTCAGTAAGCTGTAGGTCTGGTGTTGGTAAGCTATTGGTGGGGTGCCTAAATAGTGTCATTAAGGTGTCAATAGGATGACAGGTAGTATAGGTTGTTAGGGTATTACAAAATCGTGTCTTGAAAATGTCAGCTTCTCACTGTTTATTCACTGTACTAATCAATTAAATATTTCTTGTCTTCCAGGTTTGTGAAGGAAATGAAATCATCAATTTTTTTGTGTTGCAAATAAAATATCAAAGCTTAGAGCAAACACAATAAAAACTAATAAATAATCCCGACAATAAAGCATTTATTATTGTTTTCAAATATTTGACTGTTTCATCCAAGATATTACCAAAAATGTAGTTCAAGTATGTGCAAAAAAATTCATCAGAATGAACCAGCCGAATATCTAAATAAAATTAACCAATATTATTTTATAGCTTGAAGGATTCTGGTTTCTATCACCTAGAACATGTTTATAAAATAAACATCACTATTATGATGAATGTCTATATTCTCCCCAGATGCAATTATGGTTACGGATTGGCCAGGGAGGGAGAATCTTGATTTTCATCAAGATACTCAACAATAGATGCCGTGGGTGGAATAATATTTTTCTAAATAGTAGTAGTAGAATATTCGTTGTAGTATTTGTATTTTTAAAAATCGTTTTGTCATTATTATTAGCGATTATTAAGGGTATGTAACTATATTTGGTATATCCCATTTGGTAGAACATTGCACCAAAATGCTATTAAATATTTATTTGAAATTGAAGTCAAACGTTTGTCTTACTAGATAGTCTCTTTTCTCATCTATAAATCCTTGACAACAGATTTGGGAAAGTTTTATTCCTGGGCCGGGTTGTTCAAAGCTGGATTAGCGCTAATCCAGGATTAACTCTATAGGTCTTATTAAGAGTTAACCCAGGATTAGCACTAATCGGGCTTTGAACAACTGGGCCGGGAGGTTACAGGGTTCCTAAATCACTGGCGCCAAATCATACCATCTGCCGTTGCTACAAAATAAGGTTTTGGTGAACCTTCCTTGAAGAGTACTTCGTCGTTGGGGCATAGCAAGGTCTCAGAAATAGGGGACAATTTACCATTTTTCCCCAAATTCACATGCATACTCATTTCATCTTTAGAATTTTCTGTCACATCCACAGGGTTTAGTAAAACTTGTGGGTGACAGTTGCTGCCCCTCACTATGCCATTGCCACTGATGTATCTTAAACAGGTAAAACAACATGGAGGCATTTTTTCTTTAAATAATTTCATGTTCTTTAACTGAAAAATCCTCAAGATAAATATTTCTTTTAAAACTTTTACAGTGCAATTTAAGGTATAATTATTTGAGTGATTTTACTTTCCATGGAAAGAACAAAAAACCATGAATGAATGACAGCTAATATGAAACAATAGAATCTGGCTGACACAAAAATATAAAAAAGGGGCATAGATAGACCTCTTTACCTTAGGGCACAACGTTTTCCATTCCTCTTGAGAGTATCATTTTTTGTTTAACTTTTATCTATATTTTAATTTATCTCATGTGCAACCTTTAAACAAAGAAATGATACTCGAGGAAATAACATGGTCTGAAGACAGCATTCATCTTCATGTGTCTTCTGATGTGCAACCGTTAAACAAAGAAATAGTAACCTAGGGAATGACATGTTGCCTGAAATAGAAAAACATTATGCCCAAGGTAAAGAGGACCGTCTATTCCATCAAGAAAAAGTATGATTTCTTTTGTATTTTCTTGTTAGTCTCACTTAAGAATCCTCTAGTTTCAAGAGTTGTCTATACTTTTATCAAAACTATCTTTCTTTTTTGTGTGTGTGTATAGTAAAGCAAGAGCGCAGTGAATCGTTATTGCTCTATCATCTAAGGCAAGCCTGTAAGTTAAAATCTAATCATGTAAAAGTCTAGGATCATGGGGATTTGATAGTATTGCCGTTCTTGGCCTCTGACCTGGGTGACCTCATCACAACATGTTGGCGTACCAGTTATGTTTAGTTTAATCAAGGGCCTACCAACATGGCTGACAGGTTTTTTTTCAAGTGATCTCATCGCAACCTTGTTGGCGTACCATTAACCTAAGATTTCTTCCAAGCATGTTTTTTTTTCAAACACCAACATGGCTGCCATGTCTACAACCCCATTCTAGATACTTAAAACTAAGAATACTCCCATTTCAAGTTCGCCTTTGCTCAGTCTTAGCCTCGATTGTGTACAAATGTGTTCTCTTCCTTCATTAAGGTTCATCGTATAGTAAAAAATGTACTATGGAACAATACAAGTTTATTTAAATGCCACAGGGTTTTGGTTGAATAGCTGAATATTATAACACATGACTGAGACTAAGGCTGAGCAAAGAGAACTTGAAACTGGAGTATACTGTAAGTGAGTTTGCCAGACCAACCTAACTAGTCAGTCAAGGCCAAGAACAAGCCAAGCTGCATAGTTCCATGGTACATGTAAATTTTTCCATCCATGTGGTTCTTCATCAGGATGGTAGTCCTTGTAAGTTATGGGACTGTGGGTTACTGGGTGGTGACTGCTGGCCTTGTCTTTGCTGTTGCTGTCGTTCATCAAAAAATCTGTCTACATCAAAGTTTGGTTGGACTGTTTTTGAAAAAATTCAAATGAAAAAATTAATCTTCTGAAAATAACAGAAAATACAAAATTACCTTACTATCGTACCCTACCAATGCCTAATTTTATGCCCATATCAACAGGCTCTATAAAAAGAAGGTACTTTATTGCACCCTCCTGCAAGCCTCCTTACCCTTGATATGTATTCATGCTAACTTTCAGAGGGGAATGGGTGTGTACATTTGGAATTCTACACGACAATAGCCCACTTCTGAGATATCCAGCACTTGTCATGCACAAAGGTTTGGATGAGAGGCTATGTGCATAATGCTCAGTGATTCATAACAGAAGGGAAAAAATTTAATTTCTTACAAATATTTATTAATTTATTATCATTATCAAGTTTTATATTACCTGCTTCTACAGCTGGGTTATGATCCGGGACCTTGTAATATGTTGCTAAAGAACAGAAAATAATAATAATAATCTGTATTAAAGTATACTAGTCTTGTGTTACATCCCCCGATTTTCAAGTGTTGATAAATGTAGACAATTTAACATATATAAAATCTATCTTGATCGTGGTCCAGATTTCTAAATTTCATCGGCAGCTAATTACAAGAATGACTACCTTTTTATATGGTTCCATACAATAATTTATCCCCCCTCCCCCCCCCMAAAAAAAGGTAGAGTAAAGTCACTAACCCTGTGAAATAGATATTAGACAACTATTACATGTTGACTAGTATTTTTTATCTTATGGGTTAAATGTCTTCACTCTAGTTATTACGGTGGCCCACAAGTCTCACGGCAAAACAAAAACTCACGGCAAAACAAACTAAACTCACGGCAAAACAAACTAAACTCACGGCAAAACAAACTAAACTCACGGCAAAACAAACTAAACTCACGGCAAAAGGCAATAAGTTCACGGCAAAATAAACTAAACTCACGGAAGAATAAAGAAAGCCACGGCAAAATGAACTAAACTCACAGCAGAATAAAGAAAGCCACGGCAAAATAAACTAAACTCACGGCAGAACAAAGAAAGCCACGGCAGAATACAAT